TTCCAAAAAGAAATCATGTAACTGAAATTCTTATAAGACATTTCCACACCAAAATGAAGCACCAAGGAAGAAGTATTACCCACAATGCCATTAGAGAAAACGGTTTTTGGATTATTGGAGGCCGCAACATAACATCAAGCATCATTAGCAAGTGTGTAACCTGTAAGAAGTTATACAGTCCTACACAAGAACAAAAAATGTGCCCTCTACCCAAAGACAGATTTGAGACTGAAGCTCCATTCACCTATGCAGCAGTAGACTACTTTGGTCCTTGGCATGTCAAAGATGGCAGACGCGATTCAAAACGCTTTGGTGTGATCTTGGGAAAGATTGATTCGGTCAGTACGTTCAGTGTTAAGTGCTCTATTAGAAACTCATAAAAATGCTCTAAATGATGAAGTTTTAAGAACATTTTTTGCAGAGGCAGAATGTATTGTTAATAGTCGTCCTTTAGCCTTAGATGATAATAATGACCCTAATTATACTTGTTCATTGACTCCTAATCATATTTTGACTCTTAAGGCTCAAGTTCTCCTACCGCCTCCAGGTGAATTTGTTCGCGAAGATGTTTATTTAAAAAAGAGATGGCGGAGAGTGCAATTTCTGTCAAACGAATTTTGGAAAAAATGGAAAGAAGACTATGTGCAAAATTTACAAATTAGGCAAAAGTGGCATAAATCTGTTCCAAATCTTAAAGTCATAATATAGTTTTGATTAAGGCTCCAAATGTTGTTAGATGCAATTGGAAATTAGGTAGAATTTGTGAAGTATTCCCAAGTGAAGCTGACGGTTTAGTCCGCAAGGTCAAATTAATATTAGCTGACAATTCAATTGATAAAAAGGGAAGGCGAACAGCCGCTACTAAATTCTTAGAAAGACCTGTACAGAAACATATTGATGCAAGCAGATTAAGACCGGGTATCCCCAACGAGAAGCCATTAGATGTATAAAAGTTAATTGTTCATGTTATGTTTATCCTCTCATGTTCATACGTTAGTTTAAGACTGATATGTTATAGTAAATACGTTATATTAAAATTGACATGTTCTATATTAAGATTGTCACGTTATATATTAAGTTACACATGTCATATTCAGGCTTACATATTATATTAAGGTTCACATGTCACGTTAAGGTTCATATGTCATATTAAGGTTCACATCATACATAGGGTCCTCTATGTTCCGTTAATTTATTAAGTATTAATTAATGTGAAGCATTTAAATTGTTCATTTTGTGTTAATTTCACAATTTAGGGAAGCCATGTAAGAATCGTTGTATTTCCAAGTTCTAATTTTAGACGCTTCAAAAATCCATTTATTTCCTTTATACGTAACTTATCTCCCTTTTTCGATAACTTCCGGTTTCTTGGGCGTACTGCTGACTGTTAGCTTAGAATATTGAAAGATAGACAGAAATACAGGGGAACGAGGTTTATAATCTTTTTATTAATAATAATCTAGTTATTAATATATCGATCGACATTTCTATAACGTTTAGGATATTGCATAAGTTATTTACTCAGCATGTTTCACATTTATTTCTGTGAGCACGTTTTCTTCCACAAGCGGTGTCAATGGAAATTTCATTCCTTATGTTTAAGTCTGGCTTTGTTATAAGCGGTGTAGAGTTTGCACTTGTGTACTATGCAGTGTCTCATGCTATGAAATTTAGCTTCCCTATGAAATTCGGTATCCCCTACAGTAAAAGGTCATAAATTAGTAAGAAAATTCATTAAGTATAAGTAAGATTAAGATGATTGTATTGTATACTTTCAGTTTTTACGGATTGTAATGGATTCATGGGTTATGGTATTTTAAGATATGATAAGATATGATAAGATATGATAAGATATGATAGAAAGAATAAAAGATATGATGATATTGTAATTCTTGATGTCCTGATCTTGTAAAGCCTACCCCTCAAATGACAAATTGAATGTTCGAATGTCATTACAGTATCCGTATAGTATATTTCAGGCTTATAAAATCCATCTATGACGCGAATAAATTATTCATTATTTTTTTACTGTGAAATAAAACGAATGATCCCAAATGACTAGGTGTTACTCGTGTAGATTTAGGAGGTGTACAGTAAAATTCTTTTTCTTCTTCATTTATCTCAACTATATATTGACTCTCATTTACTTTTTCATAGTTTTTAACATGTGAATCGAAGTTGGCTTTTAAAGTCGCTTCACTCCATAAATGTCTCAATGTAGTTATATCCCTCTGAATAGATTTATCATACAATGAATTGCCTAATAATTTCATGCAATTACTACCCACAATATTACCTTCTCGTTTATACTTATTTCTTAGATCTCTCAAAATTAAAATATAATCTCTATAGTGTGGAGTTAATAATTCGTCCACCGTCTTTCACTATTTCTTGAATATCAACCGATGTTAAAACATCTGAACAGAAACCATTTCTGAACCTGATTTTAGTGCCAGTTTCCTTTTTACCTATTCTATTCGTAAAACTGATTTTATCTTTAGCTTGTATGGGTTGGAAGAACATGTTGGTAGGATATTTAAACCAGACTTTTAAAATAGCAGTTCTAGGTCTGAATTTCTGCTCATTAAAGAGCTTAACAAATTCTTTATTTTCTTCTTGTAGAAATGGTCTACCACTTTCCGCTCTCGGATATTCGCTGTCTAAATCCGACATGGCGGAAGCGTACAAACCGTTATCATCAAAGGCCATTAGTTTAGCACATTTTATTTCTTTAAGTCTCGAATGAACCTCCGTTTTATCTTTTGGGTTGGCACTATATTCTTTAAATAAATCAATTATATTATCACTTAGCGTTTCTGTGTATTCACTTAATACATTACATATTTCATCCATTGTATTCGTTTTAAATGATTTTCGATTTGCCGAAACTCTTCGTCCTTTAATACTTTGTCTGATAAAATATCTTATAAAAGGGTGTGTATGTGAGTAAACTTTTTCTACGTTTTCTTTTTCGGTGTGTTTCGGAACCATTCTAGTACTTTCATACCATTCTTCTTCAACCATTTCTTTATCGTAATGATATAAATAATACCAACCCTTTAAAGATAAAGAAGGAGCCGTTAGATTATTGGAAATATTCTGAAATACAACTTCCTTCATTGCTTGATTGTATTTTATCAAACAAGCTCCGAGACATAACGTATCTCTTTTAGCGTAAGGTTCCCATTCGTGTCTTAAAGATTCCCAATTATCTTCGGTGTATTTTGCAATATTAATATCGGTGATCTTTCTCAAATTCATTGGTAGATTAGATGAATTACCCCATGCCGCTAAACTAGATGTTTCATGTTGAAAAGAACATATGAAATTAACATTTTGCAAATAATTAGAGTTGCCCATTATTTGTTTTTGTCTTTTCCATTTTTTCTGTAAATCTTCATCGGTGAATGAATTAGTTAAAGGTAGAGACAGAATTCCTCTGGGTATTTTTAAAGGGCATTGTGTTATTTTTTTTACGTTTTTGATCACGATCCAGTTATCAAAACCGCTACCGTTATGAGCAATTAATGTTATTCTTTTTTGATCTATTTTTCCTAAACGTTGTAACATTTGATCGATGCAATCTTTACTCATTATTCTTCTGGAACACTATCAGTGGGATTTAAATCTGGAAAGTTATGTATTATTTTGTCTAACATTTTCTTAGTTTTTCTAAATTAATTAACATGCAAGAATAAGGAATGGCTTTTTTCGTTTCTTTTTCGCTATAGGTTTCGCAATCCCATGCGTATAAACAATCATCGTGTATGGTTGGAAAAACGTTTAGTTTTAGGGGTGAAACTTGCGTTACCGTATTATCATCTCTACGAGTTCTCCATACGTTTTCATCGTAATTATCTTCTATTTCTTTTATGTCTAAGGTTTTGTTATTTCTTCTAATGAGACAGAAATGTGATTTATGTAAGTAAAATACCCAATCTAATTCCTCGGATACTTTCTTTGGTTGAAAATATCTATGTTTGGGCATATAAATTTGAAAATAAGTATTAAATTTCTTATTTAATTCAGATTCTAGCAATTGTCATCACTCCTTTTCTGTTTGATTTTGAAAAACTGTTGATGAAATCTTGAAATCCTCTCGTGTAGTCTTCGTTTAAAACACGATTTACGCACTTTACAAAGCAGTATCCATCGCTCGGTATATAACAATTTATACCGCTATATTCATTGATCTTTTTGAGTAGGGTAACACCACTACCCTTTTTTGATCTTTTTATTCCTTTGAAATTGTTTTTACGTTAAATGATTTTTCCTGAGAAATACCAATCAGAAGCATCCGATTTTACATCCACTGTTGCGAAGAAATTGTGAAAAGTTTTGGCATTAAAGCCTACAAATTGCATGTTTTGTTTGTGTTCACTATCAAGAAGTATCTCTCCATCTAATTCAATTTGCCCTTTAAATATTATGAATTTATCAGAGATAAGGTAAATAATACTGGAAAAAAGTTCATTTGATATGAATGTTTCATCGTCTAAAATTTCAATTTTATTCATACTTTTAAAGCAACTATTTTTAACTAGGAATTTTTAACTTTTATTGATGATATTTCTACATAAAATTTTTCAAAATTTCATTGAATTTTTATAATTCTTCAATGGTTATGTTCTTATCTTCTCTCGATCTTTCGAAAAAAATGAATAATTTATTAAGATATGTATTTAAAATTTCTGTTTTCTTTTTATAATGAGCTTTCTGTTTTGATGTAAAACCTAAAGTAATAAATCCACAAGATGAAGTTTGAACGGCAGTGAACGCGGCTAATACAGTTGGGACAATTATTGGAAGCATTAATCCACTGGTTACGGCTGTTGCCACCGTTATCCCTATTGTTAAAACTGTACTTAATGTTTTGAAAACAGAATCAATTCTACTCCAAGTTTTTCTACATTTGTTGAAGTGTTTTAGTTTTTCTTTTAGTTTGTTTTGTTTTTCTATCATGTAGTTTTGTCTGCGTTCTAGTTCCATTTTTTAGGTAATTAAATTAAGTGAACTTCTGATAAAGCTGCTATGTGTTTACCATCATCAATAACAACTTTTACAGTTATTAATGATATTTGTTCTTTCGAATCATTAATCTTGTTTAGATTAATTGAAAATTTTGGTTTTTCAATAGAGATTGATATATCTCTTATTGCTGGTATTAAAATAAATTGTTTTTGTTGACTTTTATGAATATCAATTGAGGTAAATATATCATTATCAACAAAATATAGTTTTACGTATTCATAGTCTGTCGTTCGTAAAAACTGATAACTACTTGCTCCTTTTTGTGGTTCTGGATTTTTAATGATATTCATTGATGGTGAAGTTTTCGTCTCCACTATCTTATCAAAATCACTTAATGAAAGTCCATCTTCTTTATTATCTGGTATGATTAACATTCTAAACCTATCTATATATTTTCCACTCGTTTTAATTTCATATAAGTGATTAACCTTGTTGTTTTCGTCGATACTTTCATATTCCTTAATTTCTACATTGTCTCTACCATTGATAAACTGAAGAACTTTTTGAGCGTTAAATTTTTTATTAGATGAAAGTGAGACTTGTTTGAAGAATAATGAATCAACTTTTACCTGGATGGGAAAATTAATTTCAATTACAAGTTTTCCTTTAAAAGTAAAATCTAGTGGATAATCACTATTAAATATATTATAGGGGCGAAGAAAATTTGAAGTAGAAAATACTCATATTTACTTTAAATCCATATTTTTTATATTCATAGTCTTTTGATCTATCAATATTAGTAGTAGAATAACCACGATCACTCAAACTTCCAAATGGAAGACTAAAATAATATGATTTATTTTCTTCCTTGTTGCTTTTCTAATGCAACTATATTTTTGTCCTGTTTTAAAACTAGGTTATTAATAGTGGTTATCTTTTGTTGAATAAGACTATCATCAATGTTCTGTATTTGTTGTTGAATATAGGTTTTGATTTCACTATCATCAATATTTTGTATTTGTTGTTGAATATAGGTTTTGATTTCGCTATCATCTATGTTTTGTATTTGTTGTTTAATATTTCTTAGTTCTTTTAGTAATTCACTGTTTGGTTTCCAGAGCATTTAATTCCTGTTGAAACGTATCTTCATTTTCATAAGGAATGTTGTCTATTAATTGTTGAATATCTAATTTTTGTTTTGCAATCTTATCCTCTAATTTAGATATTAATGAAATTAAATTTTGTAACTCAGTTTTGTTCACTACGTTGACCAATTCTTTTTGAATAAAACTTATTAAACCTTTTACCTCTTGTTGTAGTTTAGTTTCATTAACAAAATTTTTTATTATTTAGTTGACGTTTGAAAAATCTTTTCACATTACTTATTTTATCTTCTAAATGGTTTTTATTTACTTCAATTGAATTTATTTGTTCCCGTAAATATTTCTTGTGAACGGCGTCATTATCGTTTTCCGGAGACTTTAAATTAGTTACTTTGAAATTGTTCGTATCTAAATCACCTTGAAGAGTGTCTCCGATTTGATCCACAAAGTAAGGTTTCGCTTTATTTATCCATGCTGTAATGTTAGGTTTTTTAGTTTCTAAAGATAAAGAACCCAATCCAAACTTGTTCGCCATTTTTATTAAGTTTAATTTATTACAATTTCTTCGAACTGTTTTCCTAAACTTAATTGATATAAAACCCAAAGTGAAAGCTGTCCACAAAACTTTTGTCCCGGTAATTGAATTTGAAAGGTAGAACATTTGATTGGTTGATTAGTCAATTTCATTATCTCTTCAGTGGGTTCTAATCCATAAGAATCGAAGAAATATAAGTCATTTGAAGAGTCTTTGTACAAACAGAATGATGAAATCCTTTTTGATCGGAAGTATGTATATTTGTTATAGCATAAAATTTACCGTTCTTATATTTCAGATCATTTATTTCATCTCTCATACAATAATAAAACGGTGATATATTTAACTCATTCGCCCATCTCATAAGTTGAAAGTTTGTGGTTGTGTCGGTTCCATATTTATCGAGAAATTCATTCATTTTTAAAAGTCGGTTTTTTGAAGTTCGTTTTGATAAAACCTACCTATGATTTGTTCTTTGTCTTGATCGATTAATTCATATGTCGGAGGAGATGTGGTGTTTACTTTATCAACGATGAATATTTCGTTTGTCCAGTATCCAACGTAACCTTTTTCGAATTTGCTTTTATATTTGAAATTACGAACTCGATCTCCGACTTTAAATTTGGGTTTGATATTTAAATTCTTTATTTCATTTTCGTAGTTATGTTGTGCGTTAATTGACTTTATAATATTTGGATTACTGGAGGCTTGTATTGGTGTGACACCTATAGATGAATGAATTTTATTATTGTATTCATCTACAACCGCTGGTAATATTTTAAGCCATTTTTGAGATTTCAATTCCGTGAACTTTTTGAATAATTTATTTTTTAGAGTCCTGTTAAATCTTTCTATTACTACAGCTTTACTTTCATTATGCGTGCTGTAAATTTCAAATCCAGGTGATTTCATATTTTTGTTATAAAATTCACTTCCTTTATCTACCCACAGTTTTTTTGGATGACGATTAGATTGTTTCATAATCGTTTCAAATGCGTGTTTGACTGATAATCCTGTTTTGATTTTCAAAGGAATAACCCAAGCATATCTATAACTGTTAAGCAATATTTAAATCCTCTTTCGACTGGCATATGAATTAAATCGGCTGACCATATTTCATCTTTTTCAAACACTTTAACTTTTAAAAAGTTTTTAGTTCTTCTAAATTCTTTATGAATTTCATCCGCTAATCCCATGCCTCATTTCATCTTTGCTTGTAACAGTTTTATGATCAGAGCCCTTTGCATTCTCTCTTTGAAAGTTTGATTTGGAATATTTTCAAGTTCGATTATTATTTGTCTGTCTGCTTCGTGTCTGAAGTTTATGTCTTTGTTTCTGTATAGTTTGTCGTGCTTAAGCGCAGCGGCGTCAACTCTATTGACTGGTTCTTCGCCCGGTTTGGGTTTATCATTTTCGTCTAATCGCAGATCTAACCTGGTACCTGGACCGGTGTAATTATGACCGGGAAGATGTTTTTCTCCGGGATATTTTGCCAGGAAGAGAACCCAATGATTTTTGTATATGTGAACCAAAATAAGTTTTTGGAGCGTGAGCGATAATCATTTTTTATCCTATAACTTTAAAACCTTTTCCTTTCCTTTCTTCTAATCTCCTGTTTCGCAGTTCTCCTATTAGTTGTAATTCTTTCAACTCGTCAGATTGTTTCACCGCGTCGTTTAAACTCTTTCCCGCTTGCGCGATTGAGCCAACGGCTTTCGCTCCGGTTGAAATGAGTGATTTGTTGTTTGAAACAAAGCTAGCTACTTTTGGAATTATTGTTTTACCTAGAGAAAATAATGAAGAAAAGATACCGTCGCCCGAATAATCTTCGACGAATAATCTTCAAATCTGTGTTGTTCGTGTTTTAGAATTAAACTCATCCTATTTTTAAATGAGTTAATTTAACGAAGAAATTGTGTTTCCAAAAAAGAGTTATCTCCCTTTTCTAGAAGTTTTTGGACTAAAAATAACATTACTTAAAACGAGGCTATTAAAAATGTTATGTTATTTTTATATAAGGGTATTTTTAATATGCTTTTGTGATGGAATGTAGGAAATTAATTGAAGGTGTTTTTTGGTGTAAGAAATATAGGGAGTTTAGGTGAAAGAATTTATAGGGGGTTTAGGTCTTTTTTTAGTGTAAGAATTTATGAAATGTAGGGTGTTTAGGTTTTTTTTGGGAGGGAATTGATGGAATGTAGGGTGTTTAGGTCTTTTTTGGGAGCTTACAGATTGGTCGCATTTTCCCTATGAAATGAAATGGGGAATCCCCGTGCGACCAATCTGTAAGCTCTAGTACTACTGACGTCATCGGTGAGCTGTTGTGCTGGTTTCGTTGTCTTTCAATCTGTTAAAAATATTTCGAACCAATCATTTATTTTGTATTGTTTTATCTAGGATGTTTTGGCCATCAGTTTATTTATACCACAGATGTGATTTCCATTATTATAATGTACTTTTTATCCTCTTAATAACGATATGATATGGATGGTTGAATACAATATTTCAAATTGAAACATCAAATGAAACTGCTGTCTTTTTAAATCTGGTTGTGATGATTGACAGCTTTCAGTAGGTTGGTTACGTTTTAACATCATTCTGCCACTGTTTAGGTACTCCTCTGTAATATAATCGTGTATGTAAGATTTCATTTTGAACAAACAATGCCTTTTATCTATAACCTTGACTTGTTGGTATTTTTACATTCAAGAATATTTTGGAGGGTTTGTAAAATATAAGACAAGTAAATGATGTATTATTGAGCCTGATGTTAGTAGAAACGTTATTTGTTATTATTAAATTATGCCTTTTTAGAGCATTGTACTCTAATTAGACTGTGTCACTAGGATGAATCTATGGATTGAATATTTTGTGTTGGACGAATATAGGACAATTCTTTAATTTGTTTACGAAAAGATACGGGTGCTCATCGGCACATATACATAACTAAAAAATTTCAACTATGTAGGTATAGATACAGGCTAAAGTTAAATGTTTTAGATTTCTATAAGCATTTTATTTCAATTTCTAAGATAATTTCAAATTTTACATAATATTTTACACAATAAATTTTCAATCGGAATTACAAGACAAGTATGATGGAGTAACTGTGAAATGTTCAGATGATTAATATCTGGGAACTTAACAGTTCCTAGGCTGTTTCCATTCTGTAGTTGTTTTAATAGCACTAATAGATCTAAATATAACTTAACAAAAAATACCGTAAGCAAAGTCTTTGCGTATTGAATGAATTTCAGCAACAAGAAAATAATAACTGCTTTGTAAAAACCAAGTAGGCAGCAAGCTGGATTGTAATTAGATTCAGTGGCTTCGAATCCTTCTCAAGAAAAGAAAACGCCATTGGCCAGCCTGGTGTCCACAATTAACCCCTTTCACTATAAAGGAAGAAAAAATACTGCGTAATTCATTCACAAGCACTTTGCTATACTAAGTTACATAATGCTTTAAACCTAAAAAAACTTCAACAAAATACATTTATGAATACAAACTTTTGGTTATAAAAATAAAATTGTAAAAATAAATTGTTACTTTCTGTTTAACCCTAATAGGATGTCAGTTATAATCAGAAGTGGGACAATATAACGTTTCAGTCATTATACCATTTTGTACCCATCTCTATAATTAGCTATGCTGATGCTGGACTGAAAATAATTTGACTGACAACAAAAAGTCCTCGCTGATACTAGCAAATACACTTTGGTGAAAGCATGCGTGTGAGAGAGTCCACTTAAGGTTGTGATGTGTCATAGAGTGACTGGCCTAGTCTTGGAAAGTTACCGTTTTTTGTCCAGGTTTCCAGATAGAATATATATATATATGGAATAATTACATTGGAATTTCACTTAATCAAGTATCATGATCTTTTGCATTATTCATGTTCTTACTATGGTCTAAAACAAACTATATCTTAATACATATCTTCAGCAAAGATAGATATACACATCAAGGGACAATTTTAAGTAACCATATGTCCACAGAAAGTGGGATTATTCAACAATTTTATATTTTGAAGCATAGATTGGATGTTATGGTGAAAGATTTGGGAAAACAGATTATTTCTTTCAAAAAGCTGTAAGCATATGAGACATAAAACAATGATTATTCCTTTTATAGATTGGCAAATAATTGAGTGGCAAGATTTTTTCAACAATTCTTACAATGGTGATACTAGGGTATACTCTTGCAATACGTTTTGGTAGTTTAAACCAACATAATAAAAGTCAGAAATATATAGTCTGTTTTGTTACTATTTATTCTACCTAAAACTTAATAGACTGACAAGTTCAGAGTTTGAATCACTCCCTGGATGTGCATTCATATCTTAATCAGATTATAACATGCCTTGGTGACATCTGACAATGAATTCAATCAGGTCAATACAATTTATCACAGCATACAAAGCAGCATTCATGACTATTTTAGCATCACCACAATGGTAAAAAAAATGCGGACTATACAGGCAAATATACGGTATTTGTCAGCCATATCTGACTGAAGTACCTAGACATAGTCAATTTAGCCTGTATTGTTGAGGTTGTTTTAAATGACTTAAGTTCTCAAGAAACCCAGACGCTCAAAGAGCTGTGGCTGTTTTCCATGTCATTTCTTTTTTACCCTCACGATAATCGATTAAATTTATCTGTTTGAGCCAATACATAGGTTCAGAGTTTCTCGTACTACTTTTAAGAATGAAGAAATGGATAAATTTTCTATATAACATAGTATTATAGATGGGTCCATAAATAGCAACCCTGGTTTCACATATTCGATGACTTATTTTACATGAATGTCAATGCACCAAGCAAAGCAACAATATTTCAATACTCTAGAAAACAAACTAACTACAGGTTAGCCAAGATATTTATGCACTTCAGGGATACCATATAACTTATCGTGAGTGTGGGCGTATTAAACACGACAGTCTTTATTGTCTAGTTTCAATTACTTTATACTGCCTTAGAGAATGGAATAGTGGTCTTTTCTTTTGGTGAAAAACACAATACTATTTTCGTTACCACAAAATAAAAGAGGCTGTTAGTGATTGTTTGTCCCTGAATGTGCATAAACATATATAATATACATAAATTAATTACCAAAACTCATATATACAATAATTTTTTTTTTATTCTGGTTATAAAGAGCTCAATGTATTAATTACAGAGTGATATAGAAATATTCCTATAAAATAGACTATAATAATACAAGAAATACCTTTACCGGTAACAAGAAATATCTTAATTTGTAAAATAGAGCTCAATGTATTAATGGCTGGGTGAAATTCGAATTTTCATTTATAATATAGTGCAGTAATTACAGAGTGATATCGAAATATTCTCATTGATATATATATTTATGTACAAGGCTAAAAATAATTTGACTGACATAAAAAAAACACCCTTATTTAGCAAATGAACTCTTCCTAAAGCCCATAAAATTGTTAACATACACATAGGAAAAGCATGTGTGTGGATGAATCCATCACAGTTTAAGGGATGTGAATTTGATGACAGATACACCATTTACAGCCTTCAATTGGTGTATAAATAACTTCAAAAAATACTGACACTATAACATGCAACATAAAGAACATACAAGTGATCAATGTTTATTGGATTTTGGAATTACATTGATAGTCTACTCAATCTGGATGTAACTCTCACAAAAGCATTGGCTGGGGAAGAAAAACTAATGCCATGGCTTAATTCTTTACTTCAACAACTAGACCTTGTTTCAAGAACAATTGTTTGTTAACAATATCATTTAAACGGAATCAAAGCGCATTACATTGTCATAATAAAGAGTTAAGCTAGGCAGGGTCAACAAATAAGATGGATTTTAATACATTTTTCCTTTGAACTAATTTTCTTTCTTTCATAAGGTTAATTTTCAATTTTAGCCTTTCAAAGATATTCATCCACATCTAAGAATATTTACAAACGTAAACACTAGCAGTTCACTTTGAAATCAGGTTCAAATTATCAATTTAAAGTCAGACTCATATTGTGTTGAGGGACAAGCTTGATTTCATTTTATTTTATAGTGATCAAGGATAGAAAAATGAAATCATTCAAGCCCCGAAGTCAGTTCCACTCGATGTAAATCCCCTTGATATGAATAAATATCTTTCCCCCGACCAATACGAAACGATTTATCACAAAATATCATTTGCTCTATCATTCATCACAATTAAACAGAGTTTTACACGGATTCATATCCAGTACGTTTACTACGTCGTCGACCAATCAAATAGGCAATAAGAACTATAACAACCAATCCAGCCAGAGCTGCTCCTACTGCTATTGGTACGACACTGTTAGAATCAGAATCAGCGGAACATTCATTAACACCTGAAAATAGAGTTACATTCATGAAATACCGATACTGAGTTTTATGATTGATCCTTTTCAAAACGGAACCTGAAACATGATGATACTTAGAGATTCACACTGAACAATCTTCAGACTGCTGATCTATTACAGTCTGCAACTCTGCTAAAGTTTGCTAAGGAATACTAAATCATTTGCTGATATGAATATTAATTAGTTTTTGGTCGCCTTTCCTTCCGATAGCCTATGTATAAAAAAGAATTGATCTCCTTTACAACACTCTTTTGAATAAGGTGAACTATGTATTTGGTTGAAGAATAGTTAAGGTTATTGTAATGGGCTATGAATATTCATCAAAATGATAAATATGCATTAGGGTCATGAATATTCATCAACCACTTACCACTACTACCAAAATCAGTAGAATTATCATTTGCAAAGGCACGGTACTGGAAATTACTGATGTCTAACTTGGCTCCATTACCCAAGTCCAAATCAGTTTCTGAATTACATTTAAATGAACTTTGATCCCCTTCCACTTTAAACTGATCCAATCCATTAGCTGATACTGTCTTCGCAGCCCCTAGAAATACACAATCAGTTCATACAGGTATTCACTATAAGGTATTATATAACTCAATAAAAGATTTTGACATATAGGTAAAGAGTTTAATACTGTATTCAATATATCATGGGTGACAGCTTGAAACCTTGACCTTTCTGATTGGAAGCATTTAGGCCTTAAAACCCTTTTTTCACATTTTTCATCTCAAAATGCTTTTGAATATGAGAGGGTATATTTATGATGGAAATGTGTGGGACCTTTCATATTGGATGCATTTAGGCCTAAAAACGTGAAATTGATCGTTTTTTTTATGTCATTTTGACATGAAAAACGTGAAAATTTAGGGTTTTTAGTCCTAAATGCGTCCAATCGGAAAGGTCATATACTACTGTATTCTAAAATCAATAATAGGATGAGTTTAGTTTTTTTGTTAAACCTTTCCTATAGGGACACATTTCTCTAGATTTTGATCCACATTTTCAATTAATTCAAGCACTTAACTTTCCCAACCTATCACAATGTTTCTTTAAAAGAAAAGATGTCCCGAATTATCTGTGTTTGAATGTCAAAAAGATGAGTCTATAGAAATAGGAAAAGGAATTCCTAGTTTGATATATTTTGAAGGAATTATGTAATTTGTGAAGACCATTTACTTAAACATATGTATTCAAGTCTCAAATCAACCACCCAAAATGGTGGACTTTAATATTCAGAGAAAAAATGTCATCACTTACCTGGATTAGAAGTATTGGGAAAATGTTTGGGATCTTCAGTGTACACCAAGCTTACATTACTAAGATGGTAGGCTCTGGAATCATCAACACTGGCCTGTAGACTGTCTCCATCAGCAGTGAAGATGAACGACATAACCCAGGTGTCAAAGAACTTAAACGACAGCATCTGGGAGTTACTAGTCAGGTTACAGTTACCTTTTACATCCTTGGCTGGTACCACAGGTACATTGATAGTTTTACTTGTGTTCTAGAAATACAACAGATACATTGATAGTTTTACTTGTGTTCTAGAAATACAACAGGTACATTGATAGTTTGACTTGTGTTCTAGAAATACAACAGATACATTGATCGTTAACTTGTGTTCTAGAAATACAACAGATACATTGATAGTTTTACTTGTGTTCTAAGAATTCAAGTTTTACTTATGTTCTAGAAATACAACAGATACATTGATCATTAACTTGTGTTCTAGAAATACACCAGATACATTGATAGTTTTACTTGTGTTCTAGAAATACAACAGGTACATTGATAGTTTTACTTGTGTTCTAAGAATTCAAAAAGTTCATTGATAGTTTTACTTGTGTTCTAGAAATACAACAGATACATTGATAGTTTTACTTGTGTTCTAGAAATACAACAGGTACATTGATAGTTTTACTTATGTTCTTGAAATACAGCAGATACATTGATAGTTTTACTTGTGTTCTTGAAATACAGCAGATACATTGATAGTTTTACTTGTGTTCTTGAAATACAACAGATACATTGACAGTTTTACTTGTGTTCTTGAAATACAACAGATACATTGATAGTTTTACTTGTGTTTTAGGAATACAACAGATACATTGATAGTTTTACTTGTGTTCTAGAAATACAACAGATACATTGATCGTTAACTTGTGTTCTAGAAATACAACAGATACATTGATAGTTTTACTTGTCTTCTAAGAATTCAAGTTTTACTTGTGTTCTAGAAATACAACAGGTACATTGATAGTTTTACTTGTGTTCTAAGAATTCAAAAAGTTCATTGATAGTTTTACTTGTGTTCTAGAAATACAACAGATACATTGATAGTTTTACTTGTGTTCTAGAAATACAACAGATACATTGATCGTTAACTTGTGTTCTAGAAATACAACAGATACATTGATAGTTTTACTTGTGTTCTAAGAATTCAAGTTTTACTTGTGTTCTAGAAATACAACAGATACATTGATAGTTTTACTTGTGTTCTAGAAATACAACAGGTACATTGATAGTTTTACTTGTGTTCTAAGAATTCGAAAAGTTCATTGATAGTTTTACTTGTGTTCTAGAAATACAACAGATACATTGATAGTTTTACTTGTGTTCTAATAATACAACAACTACATTGATAGTTTTACTTGTGTTCTAGGAATACAACAGATACATTGATAGTTTTACTTGTGTTCTAGAAATACAACAGATGCATTGATAGTTTTACTTGTGTCCTAGAAATACAACAGGTACATTGATAGTTTTACTTGTGTTCTAGAAATACAACAGATGCATTGATAGTTTTACTTGTGTTCTAGGAATACAACAGGTACATTGATAGTTTTACTTGTGTTCTAGAAATACAACAAGTACATTGATAGTTTTACTTGTGTTCTAGAAATACAACAGATACATTGATAGTTTTACTTGTGTTCTAGAAATACAACAAGTACATTGATAGTTTTACTTGTGTTCTAGAAATACAACAGATACATTGATAGTTTTACTTGTGTTCTAGAAATACAACAGATACATTGATAGTTTTACTTGTGTTCTAGAAATACAACAGATACATTGATAGTTTTACTTGTGTTCTAGGAATACAACAAGTACATTGACAGTTGTACTTGTGTTCTAGGAATACAACATATACATTGATAGTTTTGTGTTCTTGAAACAAGAATAAATATATTTTTATTAATGTTTTAATATGCATTCAGATTTTGTGAACTTTGTGTTAATCATCCTTTCCTGAGAATGTCTTGTCCTTTATGTAAACATCTCTATCTCTACTGTATCTTATGTTTATTTTGAATTAAGAGTAATAACTATGTATAATTATACTATCATAAGGAATTGAACCTGATATCATAGTCAAGATAATTTAAACAAAATAAGTTCTTTAGAAGATCTTGGGTTGATGGAGATGCTTAGTGTTCTGGAGCAATAAGTATTTACTAACCTGTGAAGCAGTCTGGTATGGAAGTTCTACAGCTAGAGCGGATTTGATCAGGATACAATTACCAGGAATGGTGAAGTTATTCACTGGAGGTTTTCCAGGGCCAGGGTTTTCGGTGGTAGTAACTGGCATTGCTGTTGTTGTCTTTGTATCTTCTTGGCAGTGGTCACCTAAATATGAATAAAAAAACCAAAGTACTAACAAGCCGAACTTCATTACAAAACTCAAAATCTTAAAATTATAAAAATAATTGGTGGCAAGTATGTATCATGTTTAAAAGGGTTGTTTCCCTTGGCCATTACTGGTCTAAGACACTCTGTGACCCAGGACAGTGCAGTCATTGAGACCCTAATAGAACTATTTCTTGATGGAAAACCAACAACATTTGTGTGAACAAGGAGAGGGGATATATAGACAAAGCCTGTTCCCCAATCCTTATCTTATAATTGTGAATAAAATATTGTTTAAAAAAAAAATAATAAAATGTGTGTGATGAAGACAGCTGTGCTAGCCTACTTTTCAATTCCAGCTGTCAAGGATGTGCAAAGTCACTAATAGGAGTAAGGAATAACTTACCCTCAGAGAAAGTGCTATTCTCAATGCCATCAATCTGTACCTGGAAGTCACTGACTGTCAGGCTAAGACTGTAAAAGTAGGTACTATTTTCCACTGGAGTTGCATTGAACATGGAAGTGATGGCAGCATCACAGATATAAGATTTAGTATATTCTGATAATTGTTCTGATGGAATATTCACACTGACAGTTTCTGAAAACATCAATACGAAATTCAATAGCAGAAAATAGAATGGTGTGATTTAAGCAGTAATATTTGGGTCATGGCCCCCCCTCTCACGCCATAAAAAAAGAAAATTCTATTCTACTTTCACTTCCAAAATCATGTTAAGGTTGATTTAGACTTCAGATGCCGTCACCCGCCGTAAAACACTAGCATAGACTCGTGATTAGTGGTTTCTAGCGTTCGTCAGCGCATGGCGTCAGAAGTATAAATCCACATTTAGATGTCTTCTCTGGCTTCCCACATTAAACAATATCCTCCCCCACCACCCCCACATAACTGGTGCCCTCAGAAATCTTCAAAGGTAGGTTGGGGCGCTCCAAAAATTTAAATCAACAGAGCAGATAATGAAGTGAACTAATGAAGAGATGCAGTGGGCAATGGACGATATTCTGTACATCTCCAGTAGATATAACTTGAACCATTTAGAATATGTCTCACATCAGCCAATATCATTTACAAAATAATGCTTTATGATTTGGTAACAGTGAAATTCAAATTCAAGGTTTAAAAATGTAGATGACACAGTTAAATTGATATAATAGTAGAGAGGAGCAAGGGACACTCACCATTTTCATCATTCGAAAAAAAATCATTAGGAGTAAAACTAAAGGTGCTGGCCATAAACAAATTCTTCTTGGCATCAATCGTAAACAGGAATCCCCAGGCAGCAGCACCATCTTTAATATTGAGATCTAGATTGGTGGAAGTTTGGTTGGGTTCAAGACAGGCTCCATCTTCAACTTTTACTGGTAACTCGGCAAGTTTAACAGTCACTGTCTTCTGTAAATATACATAAAATATTAGTTCAACTAATAACAGTTACAAAAAATATACGGCCTACATCTCATAGAGATTATAGAGAGGTTTTTTATGTATCAGGGACACTGATAGCATCAATTTGTACCAATCCAATATTCAGTCACATGTTTGTGTATCCTGCAATTCCACTACAACTAAAGCTTTATGGCATAACTTTGGTTAAAACTGCTAAAAAAATATTTTTTGCGATAGTGATGTCCTAAAAAGCTTAGTTTTAGTATAAGAATTTCTGGCAATTGTTATTGTCATGGTACAGATTATAATACTTACTGTATCATTTTGATCTTGACTTGTCTGCATCAATTCCATAACAGCTGTGATCTTCATTAATTTACAGGCTGGTTCCGATTCATTGGTGGGGAATCTGTATTCAGCACCATGAACTGTAATATACCAAAAATAAAATACTAACAATTCAACACTCAAATTCCAAAACTAATTATAAAATAATAATAATTGAATGTTAATATTCAAAAAATAATTAAATTAAGAAACTAATTATTCTTGATCTATTGAACAGTTAGGCAAATCATTGCACGATGAGTTGAAATGAAATAAGTCAGATGAGTTAGCCAATTTTAATACATTTATTACTTCAATTGATATAAACACTAATAGAATAACACTTTCTCAATAATGTAACTTTATCTTTTATTTCTGAATATTTCTTGTACTTTCCCTCAACCCCATTCACACTAAAGAGAACCAAGTGACAGTAAGCCATTGGACTTGTATTAAGAAAGAGGAAGTTCATAAAAACTACTATGTAAAGCACTGGCCAAGGTCACAAATAAAGAGATCTACTAATTAAGATAATGCGAAGTTAACATAGAACATATTATTGAACTTGTTTCAAAATGTAATTAAATGAAACCTTTTATAGGGCAAAATTAACATAAATTATAAATACAGGGAAATCAGGATTAAAATGTGAGTGAGTCAATAATCTATGAGAGGAAATATCAGCCTATTATCATTTCACACTGTTATAATTGACCTCATTATCAAGTGGTTGTTATCCTTTTTACTGACATACACAGTTGTTTTAAGATCCAATAGTATATCACATCAAGTTTGATTTGCTACATAATCATCAGGAGATGGTGAAAAACCAGCACCAATAAGCCAATAGTGTAACCCAAAATTATGCAAAAATCATTGTGCTATGCATTAACAAACATAACCACAAATTATATCACAGGTAGGTATAAGCTTACCACTATATATATATATATATATATATATATATCACCCTCAAAATGTTTGCCGTTTTGTTTAACAGTTTTTTTTAGGTGCTAAACCAACATGATAGATACCATAATCATATTAACAGCTCAATAATAACTACGCAAAAAAATTCAAAACATTAATTGTGCACTCATGTTCGAACAAGGTCAATGGGTTTGTCAATCATATTTGGTACATTACTCTAACACTTTAAAGCTCTCAATGCATGAACAAAAAGAACAAGTAGGCCTAATGACCCAAACTGCAAAACGGAACTCGAAATCCAAAATACATTGGTTGCAGCAAATGAATTTCAAATGATGAATTATAAATTATCATTTTATTCTCAACAAATTAGTTTCACCTAAACAAGACATTGTAAAATTCTCTGTAGTGTCTTGGACATTGTCATGGAGGTAAAAAAAAATTGAATGAAAATCATAATTTTTTAATGAATGTGACATTTATTCTTCTTTGGTATATTTTCAAAACTTCAATGAATAAAAGTCTGTTATTTACAAGGCTTGATATTCAAACAGTCTTAATGGTAAGTGATAAATTCAGCAACTGAGTTCACCAGTGTCTAATAATATGACGATCTTGTTATTATTATCTTATCTGATGACATGAGCTTGAAAGAATTGCGCTACAGTGATACAATAGTAATCTAATAAACCTAATTTTGTATATCAAGGAATACCATTTACTTTTCTGTGCATGTTCAGGGATCATGCTTGCAGGAGACGTGAGCTACACAAAACTTAGTCTAAAAGAAAAGAAGAACTCAAAGTGACATTCAAATCAATTTGATTCCAAGCAATGAATTTCTATATCAACAAACAAATCATACACTTCATCTTAACCCCTACTTTTTTCTGCATTCTCTTTTTCAATAAAAATAGATATTGATGAATCTTTAATGTAAACAACCCAATATCAAGTCAATCAATAGCATTAGGTTTAACTAATTCTTTTGCCAACATCAAGGAAACTGAATTTCGGAAAATATTTTCACTTCAAGCCCTGTGTCAGAAAAATAATTTTAGGAAACTGTACATGATTTGGCATTTGCAATTTTTTTAGTTAAAAAGATACATTACATTTTTAGTATTGTTTGTTTTATGGTAGAGTTCCAATTTTGAATTTAACCTAGAAAGGTAAAGTGTGTCACAATGACCCAGTTTTCAAGAGTTTGTAGTAAATATTTAACACATGTATCTTACTGCCCATTCTTTATTATCAACATTATTGATGCCGCATGCTAGGTCACAAATATTACTATTATAACACCATTTATTATTTATAGTACCGGTAATACTAGGTAGTCCAAAACTAGTCCGGTTTTTTCTAGCCCATTAAGATTATTAGTAAATGGTTTTATTGTCTTACCTATTTCTGAAGTCTAAGTGCGAAATGATCGGATATACCTGCTATTTCTTTATTTAATCCTTTACCTGTGTATATTTTTAATGACTAAAAAGATCATATTTTGAATCCTTTATAATAATTAATAGCAATTTTGCATACTATTATTACCTAAGTTTGAAAATTTTAACAATTCTGACAATTTGAGATATTAAAATTGATTAACAAAATATGCTTGACATAACCTCTCCTAGTACTGTAATCTTCATCAAATGCCAAATAAAATATGGTACATAAATATAGAAAAAAAAATGAGGTAGTTTTTCTAACGTGTCTGGTTGACATCTGTTAAGATATATATTTCAGATAAGGTAAGAGTTTCAGACTATATAGTTATGTTAAATAACAATATCATGTATTCTGTAGACTAGAGTATATTCAAGTTTTAAATAATAATATACACATGACTGAAGCCATGAACTAGATATTATAACTTTATATTTTTACATTTATTATATATTATGTCTATCATCAATTTAGTACACACTGAAATATTATTGAAAACACTTTCGCAGTAGAATGATTTCAAACAGAAAGCAATAGTGAAAATAAAGAGCGAAAATGAAAAAAAACATGAGCAAATAAAAATTTAGGTGTATGGGCATAGACATGATGGAAGTTTTTTTTTGTATAGGTGAAATGGCTGCAAGCACATTCTTCAATTCCTTTTTCATCTCTTAATTCTAAACAATGATCCAAGACATTCTACGAAAAATGCAATTTTTTCAAATCATACATAATAAATAATCCACAATGAATAGTATTGACTATTATTAGTAAAAAAAAGATATAAAATTGCATGACAAAATGATAACAAATTAATAGAGTGGCATTATCCTATTAGATAAGATTATCTAAATGAAGGCATATAGGTGAATGCCATAACTTGTGATCAATGGAAGAATGAAACATTATGTTATCAAAGGCTAGCTGTGTAGTATCATTAGTACAGTTACTGTAAATCACTAAGGCTAGCCTCTTAATTACAAAAGAAGACAAAACATTCAATTCAACGATCAGTGTAGTCTGAAAGTACCCAATATATAAATTTTCCTAGTAAAGGACATCCCAGCAGATAGAGTATCTAGCTAACAAACCAACCAACATAATTGTAGGTTCATTAGACCTATATGTTCATTCTTATAACAAGATCTTATTCTCTGATATGAGCCTATAATATGTGTTTATCCAACAATCAGAACACATTCAGTTTGACCTGTTTAATATCAAGACCAATTAAAATTCTTCAGACAGCAGAAGATTTTATTGCTTCATTGGCCATGGGTAACTACTTGAACCACCAAATAAATCTGCAGCTAAATTTCATTCAATCACACCAAACCAACCCAACTCACAAAGGCGCAATCAGAAACGAAACTCCATTCAATTATAGTGAATAAATCATAGATCATTGAATTGACAGGCACCTATGCATTGACAAATTTCAATTCAATCATATGACATAGGCTAAGACATGCATAATTTATAATTGAACGGGAAGGAATACTTACCAAGAGCAACAGCTAGGCAAAATATTAAAATCTTCATTTTGTTGATATAGTTTCAGATCTGCTTGAAGTCTGAGCCGTGTTGTGTAATAGCTTCCTTCTTGTCAAGTCACTCAACTTTACTTTTTAGCTTCGATTTGACGATGGAATGACAACAGAAATAAATCTACAATTACAATCAAATGAATAACGATCAATGGCTTCGATAACCCAGAATTTCTGAGTTGTTATTTATTGTAATCATTATTTCAATCGAACGTAATTAATGGAGAAAACAACTTACAAAATCAGATGAAATCAACTCCCACTAGTCAGCCATTCACGTGCCGGTGAGTATAAATGATGGAATAGCCAGTCATATGACTTTATCACATGCAGTTTCGTATCTTATATAATTTCCTTATATTTTTGGACAGTGCGTTAAAATATCCTGCAAAATTTCTAAAAAGGGATAAAAATTACAATTTTGTGAATATCATGAAATACTTTAGAAACTAATGTTTAGAATGAAAAATAAATTAATTTGCCATTTCGTATAAACAGGTTTTAAGACGAAACATCTTGGTACGAAATATCTCGCATCCGGAAACTTCCGGTTCGAGAGATAACTCTGTTTGGTTTCAGGAAGGAAAATAAAAATATTGAGAAGGAAAAGGACTTGAAACAATGAAGCCTGCAATTGTTGCCGATGAGATGTTCCCCGAGGGTGCTGGTCCTTATATGGACATAGAAGAGGTTCTAAAAAGTTATTGAATATTTAAACTAAACTAATGTCTGGAAGTCAGGAAAGTTCAGCCTGAACAACAGAATGACATGACATGACAGACCACTCATCAGTCCGTCAGTGTCATGGACAGTCACTAATGTTGTAAGAAACATGCTGACTTTTACCTCGTAAATTCCGTCCCTTTATATTTCTATGGTCTACCCTTAAAAAGTAAAGACCAAGATATCCTTCACGGCTTCAGGCTAACTCACACTAGAGGTGCCAGAGTTGATGATACTAATGGCCATAATAATAGCTATTTACAGCTGGTGTAGAGAAATAATAATCAAATATGATTTATTGGGAATTTCCTTACTGAATACGTCTCAGGGTTTGATGGATTCGAGGTAACTTAAAAGTTCAAAATCCAGCTAAACCAGGGCCAAGTTTTCCTGACCCTAGATCTACTCCAGCCAGCAACTTTCACAATAACTATCTTCAGCTTGAATAGAGGCAATTGTTTTAGACTACCCCATCCTGAACGTTATACTAATCCATTACATAGACTGTTTCTAATCCTTTATTTCAGGCTGGTGGTTCTAGTGCTCTATTAATGGACTTGGCTGCTAATGAAAAATCTGTCCATTCTGATTTCTTTAATGGTAAGCATTAATGTCCTTCTTCACTTTTTTATCAACTCTGACTTTCGGATAGGAGTATCCTATTATATATTGTAATGGTCGCTTCAACTGTTGACGTAAGACAGTCAGAAAGAGTGTTGGTAGGGAAGTTGGTGTCTTAGTCTTGGTTAGTTACATAGAAATAACATAGATGAGCCAATGAGGGTTATTGGTTCTAATTTTGGTTGCCATGTAGGTATGGTCAGTGAGAAAGAGCATTCTCATTCCTACCCTTCAAAATGCTTAATGTAATTCTGCAATTGGGTTTGCTTGCTCACCCATTTTGATGTTAACTGAGCTAAGTGTAGATTTTAGTCAAGTGAAGGTTTATATTTACTGGCATTATATTTTGTAATTTAATCTTTCCTTTTTTAGATTTTGAAGACCTGTTTGATGATGAAGATTTAAATTGAGGTGTAGTAATAAGTAGAAGCTATGTATATATATTTTAAGAAGGGTGAAAACTCTGAAAGATGCCATGAAAAACTCTTTAAATCAAGGGACATAACTCTTCAGGGACTGTACATTATATTAACTGTATGTAACTGTGTCCTAGCTAGATTTTTGTAATAAATAATGTTAATAAATGTGGTTTTTAATATTTATGAAGTTGTCAGTCTAAAAACAGCTTTTTTACTTGTGTCACATTTTTTCAATGACTAGATTTGTGGTGATTATTAGGAGTGTAAGAAGAAAAGTTTTTATGCCACAAGTAGATGTGTGTAACCATTAAACAAGTTCCGACCTCGGCCAGTGCTTTATATAGGAACCTCCACACTCTTAGTACAAGTTCATATGCTAAAATTGGTGTCTTATGATTCTGACTCTGGAGCATCCAATAACTATACAGAAATATAAAACATTGTCTCTACAACAAGTCTGAAATTGTTGCATTGTGGTCAATTTAAGTTTGCATCAGAGATCATAGTCAAATATATTCAAATTAAGTACCCAAGAAAAGTGGCTGACCTGATCTGGCTTTAGCACAAAACTGTTATATTTCTTATAATTTAACATAATAATAAATTTTACTGTGGGTCCCTACTCCCCCTCCACCCCCAATCCTTCCCCATACACATACCTACTGAGTCTAAGAAATGCCACTGGACGCACATTATTATCATCCACACGCATCATATTGACTTAGTGAACTGCAGTACTTTCAATTTTAATTGATACAGTGAAGTGGTATAAACGACAAAGGCTTATGCCAACAATGTTTGAATGAATGAAATAGCTAAGTACTAGTCTTTCAAAACTTTTTAGTCATCCCTCATCCTAATGATCTTTTCTATTAATCACATGCCAGGTCCGGGTATACTGTAGTTGCTTGGCATATAATAAGTTATTACTTTTCGCAATTGGTTGACGTCACTTATCTTATATAACTCTGATAATAAAGGGATACAGTCGCCTAAATATTTACTGCATAAAATTCGAGACGCGATTCTACAATTGCACAAAAACTATCGTCACTTTCAGATCGTTATTATTGGTGTTCTCACGTCGGTAAAATTGGTAACAACTAATTGCTGGAGTCAGAAATGTGTTTAAATTGTCTTTGTACATGAATTATAGACAAGTCAGATGCTAGATTTTAATTCTTAAAAGTGTTAAGACGCCAGTTCGTTGAGGCGGAAACGAATACAAAGCTTGGAAAATAGGATAATGTCTGCAATCATTCGACAACTCTCGACGATTTCCGTGAAGCTGAGTCTAAATTGAAAATTATTTCACCCTTGATTTATTGGGTTGACAGATCCGGGACATTGACAGACACCATTTTTCATCGCATTTCCTTCTAGCAACAGTATATAAAAACTTGTTACTAATTCAACGACCCAGCTGTAAAACTATTCGGCATATTATTGTGTAACGGTTTACATCTAACAAACCACGCTTCGATAGATTACTGTATTTAGTAGTGCAAGATGTTGAAATATGTTATCTTTGCTGCAGTGGCCTGCCTCTACTATGTAAGTAACATACAGCTTTTCCTGCCAATAACCTAACGTGCGTAAATGGTTGGATAGGCAATTGTAATAATTTCAAACCAATTGATGCCCGTTTGTGATCGGATTTGTCTTCACGTCTCGGCATGTATTTTTGTTTGTCCTAACAAGTTTGTGTATCCTTAGTCGAGTTGCAAATATTGTGGTGGATGTGGTTATCATAGTCATGATAATACTCTAATATCACTTGAAACCCATCTGTGTTTGGGATGTTTTCGGAAAGTTCTGCCACGCTATAAAATGATCCATTTGTTCTGATGTTCTGATACTTACCTTATGGAGTGTTATTACAGATTTAAGTCCACTCTATATCCACCGACAAATGCCCTTCATAAAGTTCGTCTTTTCGTTCATGTGTCGGGGATGTTTCACCCCAGAAATATAATATACATGTAGTTCAAAAAAAAAACCTTCGTTATCACTTTTATATAAATCCTTAACATGTGAAGTAACCTACCACATAATGTTCATAACACTGGATCTTGCAATTGACCTTAGCGGAATCTGAGATGATCAGCAATACCTCAGCTGTTGTTCAATATGATCCGCTGAGATACCCTGTATCGCCAGTCCACCATCACCCTCCATTTTCAGATTACCAAGAACAGTTACTATCAGAATGGAGTAAGTTGAAAAGGTGACAACAATTGAATATGTTCCTATCTGTATGTCATGAAACCTGTTAATTTCAGTCCTCCCCCCATAGCTGAATATAAGACAGAATCCATATAAAAATTAGGCATGGTTCTATTTCAATGTAAGAACCATACGTAGTTAGTATGAGACTGGACCTTGGAGCCATGTCCTTGTTCCAGGGCCGAGTTTCACCGCCATGTCGTTCGACCCGACCAGATCTAACGAAGAATCAACAACCAAACCAACAACACCGAATCATCCAATTTGATCCAATCCAACTACCAACTACTACGACTACCAACAACTACCTAGTTTGCGATATCAGCATTCGCTGGAAGCGAACGTTAACTCATCTACCTACCTACCTACCATGTCCTTGTGTATTGGGCCTAATTTCTGACCCATGTAAACTAAAGAGTTTATCATTATTATTATTATTATTTAAGGCTCTGGATAGGTTTTTATGATAAGTCTTTTTTCTGTTCATATTGTTGCAAATATTACTGGTTATGTAACAGAAATCTTTTTTTTTTGGAACTGAAATGAAATGCAATGCATCGAAGAGCATCATCACCAAACACCTCGATATAAAACCTTTCGAGTCCCATTGTAAGCCCCTGCAATATTCTCAAATGGATTCAGTCTAATTCAACCATACTGGTTTTCAGATCGTGGTGGCGGCGTAGTCCTATCGGTGCCGGTGAATGGGGAAACCCCCGATCGACTTATTTAACTAACGACAAATGCTGGAGGAACGTAAACAGTCCAAGCGTCGGCGATGTTATGGGCGATGGTGTCCACGTGGCTTTTTATACCGGATATAGAACAACAACCAGTGCACGATCCGATAAAATTGTCATCAATAATTGGGGCTTTAGAAGCTCTGGCTCTGGTGCCGCATCCAATACTTATGCCTATTGGAGATATGTTTGCTAAAATCTTGTTTCAATAAAATATTTCCGATATCCGATGTTTCTTATCTAGCACTTGGATAAATCTCGTTCGTTGTCGAAATATGAAAGGGGCATTTTGTTTTCTAAAATTCATTATATTTTGCTCACATTAATTATTTTAAAAGTTTTTTAAGTTTGTTATGCTTATTGACGGAAATGAAGATGGACACTACGTCATGTCACTGTCTATCTTCATTTCCTCACTACACGGTACATGTCGCTGTCTATCTTCCTTTCCTCACTACACGGTACATGTCGCTGTCTATCTTCCTTTCCTCACTACACGGTACATGTCGCTGTCTATCTTCATTTCCTCACTACACGGTACATGTCGCTGTCTATCTTCCTTTCCTCAATGCCTTAATCATGTCGCTGTCTATCTTCCTTTCCTCACTACACGGGTCATGTCGCTGTCTATGTTCATTTCCTAACTGCACGGTACTTCTCGCTGTCTATCTTCATTCACTCACTGCACGGTACATGTCATTGTTCATGTTTTTAGCCCAATCTATACAAAATAGGAGTTCCACTTCATTTGTATAACATGTATATCTTTCAATTTGTAGACTTCTCACTTCATAAAAAAGTGATTGAGTCAAGTATGGTTATTGTAGCTAGTAGCGAAAAACGAATTTTCGAAGAAAAAAACTAGTTTGGAAGTGGCACATCAATATAAATCAGTTGCGTTATATATTTGCAGTGTAAAAGTATCAGCCTGCAGCTCTAGTGTGACACAATATTTTAGCTACAATATCCTGTTTGCACAAAATATATATCAAAAACCCGTCATATCTCAAATTGTTTCTACCTCTTTTCACTATGCATGTCACACTAGGCTACTTGAATTTCGTTTTCATTTTAATCAAGTTGAACTGGCTTTGATCACAATTGACAAACAATCTCACCTTTTTTTTCTGTTGACAGATTTTTATCCAAAGATTTTTTAGTTTAATTATCCGCCTTTATCAAACAGTTTCAAAGATGTTCTGTATCGCCTTCACTAAGGCCTCGTCCACAAAAAATTTCCTTTACATTTTTTTAAATACCAAATCTGCAACATATCGTTTTCCATTTCTTAGTCGTGCTGCTCCAGAAATGGCCATCTTTGCCGGCAATTCATTGTTACGTGTATATTCTGATGGGAGTCATTGCTCCACACGCATTCTTCCAGTTTCCGATAACTGATTATCGTTCGCTACCACAGTGGTGAATTTATTACGCCAAAAAATATAAGAAAAAAAATCACGAAACACGAAATGCATATGATCATTCACTATAACATTTTACATTTTGGGGGAAAACCAGAATAGAAAACGAAAGAAAACTTCGGAAGAATTTGGTAAAAAATATCCCATCGGAAAATTGTGCAGTCTAGATTTCAGCCAGGCCAAATGGGCGTCAATCAGCGAAAAATTAAATCTTGCCCTGTTTCACAACATAAAAGACCTGTAGTCTTTCTATCGTTTGACAATGCTTCTGATCGTTGCGATGGGACAGTGGCTCTGTGTACTGTGGATTGTCCAGGGCTAGCCGTTTCAGTTCTCAACCGCCGGACTAAAACCTGACCATGTTTGTTGGTTGAATATTATGGAGCATCCTTCCCATACACCATGAAAATTGATTTCTTTAAAGGGTCAGGTGGGCCATTTTTTCATACCTTACCGTTGAAATTTCAGCCTTCAAATCCATGTGTATCCAGAATTATCTGCATGTGAATTTTAAACTGACGACTCGTCAACAGTAGATACTCTGTGATATATAGAAAAGAAATAGTGAGTAAAATTCCTAGTTTGAAGTATTGTTTAAGGAATAACGATTTTTTCGTACATTTTTAGTACTTCTGTATACTATTTACATATATTCAAGACTAAAATCAACCCCCAAAAATGGCTCACCTGTCAAAAACTTATCTCAGCTCGACAAATGTCCGATAATTTTTAGGTAGATAGGACTAAATCATCACTGCCTTTTTCAACACACCTGTTTTAGTAGATGTTTAATCGAGCTCATAAATGTCAAGTGATCTAAACTCGACAAAGTAAACGTGTCAGCTCCTCGATCTTCTCGTGTGATAAAAATATATTGAATTAAAAAAAAACTTTTTTTTTAAATGGTTGATATGAATATAAATATGAGCTCTCTAAACTCATAGTTCATTTCTAATACAGCAACGTTTCTACATATTACTTTGTTCAAGTTGTCAGGCAGCTATTCAAGATGTTGAAATTTGTAATCTTTGCTTCGGTGCTTTGTCTGTATTATGTAAGTAATGTTTAAGTTTAGATTTTATATATCAAGAGAAATGCAGTTTCATATAAGAACAGAGATACGCGTGCCACACTTGTTAGATGTCTCATCCTCAGTCGAAGATACAAAATCGAGCTGCCAGACTAGTAACACGTACTAAAACTACTGCGCACATTACCCCTGTCTTAAACAACTTGCACTGGCTACGCACCGAAGAGCGTATTGATTTCAAAATACTATGTTTGTGTTTTCAAGCAGTTAATAACGTTGGTCCTTCCTACATTCAAGATCTTGTTCAACCATATGTTCCTTCTAGAAATCTCCGCTAAATTTCAACTTGTGAAACCATCATTTAATTTAAAATCATTTGGTGCTAGAACATTTGCATATGCTGCTGCACAATTATGGAATTCCCTCAACATATCCATTAGATCATCTTCAAATATAGAAGACTTTAAATCCAAATTGAAAACACACGTGTTTGGTCGTTACGATTATACTTACTGTGAATAAAGCTTGTGAAAGACATGTGCCCATGTAGAGTGAATTTCAGCGCTTTATTATTATTATTATTACTTGAAGCCACTAGTTACTGAATTGTCAGCGGGATCAGGTATCCCTTTCCGAGAAGTGTTGGGTAAAATACATTGTCTACGGTGGCTCACATACGAGATATTTTACTTTTAATTTTGAAGTATCACCTAATTTTCACCTAGGTGAAAATAATTATCATCTAGAGGCTGCGTATCTTCGAGACCTGCAGCGGATTGAGGTACGGCTCATTACGAGAGCGAGAATCCTAACCCGTTTTCCTTTCTGCCCAAACATTTAGTGAGACTGACTTTTGTATGATTAAAAAACGACCCGCTTCCTGTAAGATTGTTTTCAGGCCTTAAAAGCGACAAAGCTGCGGCAGGTCGAAGGAGTAACTCGAAACCCTTCTCCGCTTCGACTTTTTCGCTCGGCTATTTGCTACTAGCACCAAGATCGGCACCCGCGGCCGCTACACCAAGACTTGCGTCTAAGGCCCCAGCGCTGACCGCGGCTACCCTCCTACTCGTCTCAGCTTCGGCCAGTCTTTACTGGCAGGTCGGAGAAAATTGCCGAGACGGGTTTAGACTGCATACTACAGCGCCATCTATTTTCAGGAGTTGTTACACACTCATTGTCGGATACTGATCATGGTCACCGTCCTGCTGTCTTTACCGATGGACGCCTTTTGTGGGTTCTAGTGAGCATCGGGCGCCTTAGCCCGTCGTTTGGTTTATCCTCCAGGGCCAGTTCTGCTTACTAATAGTGGCCCACTAGTACATTTGGACGGAAACCGGGACTCTTGCCAGAAACTGCCTAGGGGAGGGCCAGATATCCTGACGGTCCACCGCCCAACCCTCACCCGCGAGAGGATTAAACCACATTGCTTTCGGTGCGCACCATTGGGATGTTATCCCTGTGATTCGCAATAAAGTTAGTCTCTTTGGTTCGTGTTTCAGGACGGGTCGAGAATGACGTAGACACGGTCAGCCGCGAACGCTCTAAACCGTGGCTCCAACGCCGACCTAATATGGACCAACATATTTTTATTATTCTTGAAGGGACAATCCGTTACTTTTGTAGATCGAATTTTTTTTTAAATTTTGATAATTTTAACACAATTTCTTTAACCTGATCCTCTAACAAACACATTTAGCTGACATAGCTTATAATAAATTGTGATTTCAGGTTTCCAGTGTAGAAGCTATATCTGGTACTACTATAGCCAATAAAGCTGACAGTCACGTGGAGAGTACAAAATGGAGTAAAGCCTCAAGTCATGATACAGGCCGCAATACAAACAAATGCAACATCTTTATCAATGATGTGATGAAAGAGGTTGGCGGTAGCGTCCCTCAAAGGTAAGAGAATCATAGACTATAAGATAGCTTGCCAGGCAAATATATGCCCACTGGTAGCTTTGATTTAAAATAAAAATATTTGACAGCACAGTTACAATTACCAGCATGAAATATTCAACCTTTAGTCATACACTTCTTTTCGTCAAAATCTGTCAAGAATTGTTCAATCTAGAGTGTTTATGGGCTAAAAATTGAACACATTTTCAAGAACAAGGACAATAACTTTTTTTTTTAAATAAATTTTTCTGTTTTTCAATAGGGTTCATCCTTAGGTGCAAACAAAAACTCACACCAAGTTTCGTAAAAATCTGTCAATAATTAAACCTTCAAGAGCGTTTGCGAGCTAAAAGTTGAAAGCGTTGTGCCTTGTAGAGTGTTTACGAGCAATTGTAGACGGACCAACGGACGGGCGGGGGTTCGTTAAAAAAAAAACATTTGATGTGGGCGTATTAATATGCAGTATAGATGCAAGTAATATATGCGAACTGGCAATATGTGTGTGTGGGGGGGGGGGGGAAGGAGTATAAGATTTCCTGGAGCATCATAATTTTACTATCACTACCTCAAAAGAGGCCAATTTTATTCCCGGGGGGAGGGGGGTCTTGCAAGTGACTATTTGCCTGGTACCCACGGAACCTCTTTGTGAGCGCCCAGACAGAGTCAGAGTTTCACTGGATATGTTAAGAGATATTCCATATTTTGCGACGTTCGCGTAAACCTAGTTCGATTAAACTAAAATGTGATTTGCTTTCAGATCGTGGTGGCGACATAGTCCAATTGGCGCCGGTGAATGGGGAAATCCCCACTCTAGCTACCTTTCAGACGATAATTGTTGGAGAAATGTTGGCAGTCCATCTATCGGTGATGTTATGGGTGATGGTGTCCACGTGGCTTTTTATACCGGATATAGAACAACTACCAGTGCCAGATATGATAAAATTGTTAAAAATAGTTGGGGTTTTAGAAGTTCCGGCTCTGGTGCCGAATCCAATACTTATGCCTATTGGAGATATATTTGTTAAGATTGTTATTTTGTTTATGAAATGCATTAAGGAGTATTAACAATTCCTGAATTGTATTTTATTTCATTATGCCCTTACTCCCCCTTTCATCTTGTGCAAATTAACGACATGTTCTCCTGCTCATTTTGTTTCTGGGGTTCGGGTCTGTAGACTTGGTTCAACCAGCCCCTAAAGTAGTTGAGATGCATCGCATCACACCATAAAGAAACTCTCCAATTCAATATGATGTTGAAGACAACTTAGTACATATTACATTGTTTACCCGGGGGAAATATATAGGAAGCAAGGATGGCACAAACCATTAGATGCTCGATTGACGGACACTGAAAAGTGGTGCGATGCTTGGGAACTAAATATATCTAAAGTGTTGACTACAAATATTAAAACAGAACTTAAAAAAAAACATGTTGTTGTTACAACTGACATGAAGATCGCATAGCGTGAAACTCTGTTCTGTTTTAATATTTCTATTTCTATATGGCTCTACAATTGATTTATTGAGCACCAATTTAACAGTGAGAATTTTTCTTTAAAGTGTTGGTCTCATTGTGCACAGCATAGAGTTGCTTGAATGTTTAGTCAAATCAGGAGTTGACCGATATTTTGACGCAGATGATAGTGTAAGTTGGTCCACTACAGCCTTACGACAAAAACAGGACTGATCTACAATTTGAAGTTGTTAAAACTCAATATTCTTATTACCGATAACTCGTATATTTTATTAAGCTGTGAGCGTCCATTTTTACGTCATACTCGTGATATCGTTAACTTAACTTAACAGAAACAAGACGTTGAACTCTTTCGTCTTTTTTTCTTTGCACACTGCATGTCACTTTGTGCCGCAAAAGCTTGGTTACGTGAATAACCATTTCATTTCAGGTACATAAACCTGTCCTGGTTCTGGTCCGCCTCTTCAGAAGTTTTGTCTTGTCTTTATTGAGGCCCCATCTACGACACATGTTCCTTTAAAAAAACTGTGGATGTAGCTGGATTTTGTCGTTTATGAGGCACTCTGTTTTATTGGTTTTAAAGATAATCGAAAAGAGGCTGGCCAGGCTATGCCCCCTCCGCCGCCACTTTTAACTTTCTTATCAAGAACTGCCTCTTCCCCCCCCCCCCCCTCCCCCCCTTGACTTTCTGTAGTCGACTCGGCCCCTCCCCCAATGGTCCTTAGAAAACTGTACCTTAGTTTTTTAATTTTTCATTTGAGATCATGCCACTGTGTACTTGGTAAAAGTACTTTCAATTCAACATTGTTCCCCCGATACAATTGCTGCAGTGATAAAAACTTACATAACGGAACAAATGGTTGAATGAAGTCTCACTTATGTGACAAATAACAGAGGAATTCGAAAATTTGGGTTACATCTTGATAAATGAAAGTCTACGAGAAAACAAGGTTATTGAAGTTTGTAATTATTTGTCTACGTAATAGTTTAAATAAAAATTAAGTGGGTCAACATTTCGTCGTCAACACATCTGTTTTAGTATAGTGCAGTTGTTTGCGTGCTTATAAAAGTCAGGGTGTTTTAAATTAAACAGGGTTAAGCTCCCGGATCTTCTCTAACGTTAAAAATATACAGAATTAAAAAACCTAATTGTTTTCAAACTCCTAGATCCCATATCCTGGTTGATATGAATATAAATACGGGCTCTCTAAACTCATAGTTCAGTTCTAATACAGCAACGTTTCTACATATTACTTTTTTTAAGTTGTCAGGCAGCTATACAAGATGTTGAAATTTGTAATCTTTGCTTCGGTGTTTTGTCTCTATTATGTAAGTTACGTTTATTTTCTATTTTTGCTGGAAAATGCAAGCTTATATGAGACCACTTGATGCCACTTGGGGAAACTAAGCAATAGACATTCTTTTCAAATAGTGCTGGGCATTACGATAGATGAAATATTTGCCCATTGTAACACTGCATAAAACTACTTTTGTACTTACATATGACCATGGTCATTTGATTCGAGTAATATGATCATATAACTATACGAGAATATTCTACAATCGGACAATAAACCATTGACATATGTTACGATACTTCTATTCGTAATAGAATTCGTGCATGATAACTTCCGGTCGTCTGCTAATGCCACATTGGTTGTCTGTCCGATTATAGGATATGCTCTTATAACTTCTATGAGTACGACCCAAGATACCTTATACTCCACATAGCAATTTAGCTTGCCTACTGGATACCCTGAGCGAAGTGTTTAGGCTAGGGTTAACATGCCTCACCCACCCATCCACTTACATTACTTATCTTAATAAAGCTCATCCGACAGTGAATGGATTATTTTGGGTCCCGATAGCACGCAATCCTTTGTTGGGTCGATTGGTCGCATTTTTGCAAAAATTGTCGGGAACCTGCGAGGGATAGAGAACTGCACTATACATTCAGTGTTTTGCACCGCCTCTACCCCACCCACATCCTCACAATGGAAGATTTATGATGGTAATCGGGTCGATCAAGTAAATGGATTTATACGGGACAATCTGATCGCTCTGATTGGGAAAAACAATCCTTGATGAAATTGGAGAATAAGAACTTCAGACAAGATATGTGTATAGATAAAGACTACTTGCACTGAGTTTTATTGGACTACTACCCACGAATTCAGACATATTAAGATGACATATATAATAATAAATTGTGATTTCAGGTTTCCAGTGTTGAAGCTATATCCGGTTCTACTATAGCCAATAAAGCTGACAGTCACGTGGGTAGTACCAAATGGAGTTATGCCTCAAGTCATGATACAGGCCGCAATACCAACAAATGCAACATCTTTGTCAATGATGTGATGGAAGAGGTTGGCGGTAGTGTCCCTCAGAGGTAAGTTATTCATAAATTATCAACTTAATTTTGACCCATTGTACAGAGTAGAATAAAGATCAGTTATGGATACAAGGGGCAGTATAAATAAACCCGAAATTCAACACAATATACTGAACAATTCATTGAAAGTATTTTATAATCAACACCAAAATTGTCGACCCAATACCTCCCTACTTACAACGTTCGATTAAACTAAAATGTGATTTGCTTTCAGATCGTGGTGGCGACATAGTCCAATTGGCGCCGGTGAATGGGGAAATCCCCACTCTAGCTACCTTTCAGGCGATAATTGTTGGAGGAATGTTGGCAGTCCATCTATCGGTGATGTTATGGGTGATGGTGTCCATGTGGCTTTCTATACCGGGTACAGAACAACTACCAGTGCAAGATCGGATAAAATTGTTAAAAATAGTTGGGGTTTTAGAAGTTCCGGCTCTGGTGCTGCATCCAATAATTATGCCTATTGGAGATATACTTGTTAGATTATTATTTATTAATAAAAGGTTTAAGGTTCTGTACAGTTGTTATTTTGATATTTATACCATGTTCTAAATTATGACGATTTAGCACGAACACATTAATATTAGCTTAGTATGTGGACTTTCTGAAAGGGTTGTTGATTTGGCATCCGTGGTATCATGAGGGTGAGCATATCCCGTCCCTTAAGCCCGAGGAACGGTAAGACTAGATTTGTCGGGTTAGTTTTCCTAATACATATGACAGGATTTCGTATATTGTCGTCAGTAAAGTCATTAGAATTTGAGTCAGCAGTCTTATCAAACTTAGACCAAACGCCACGCTGGGATTTAGTGACTCGAACAAAAAATGTATTCCGAGAAGCATTTGAAACTGAATGTAGCGACTTCATTGGCATGAAAAATTCAATGACTCACTTATAACACCTATAACCACTCGAATCCAAATTGTGTTTAGCCTTCGTGTGTGTTGTGTATATTGAGCAGCAATGACGGGTGTGGCACAATGCAGGAAATGCTTACTCTTCTAGACACCCGATACCACTTTTCATTATAAAATTTTTACTCACTTATGACGATGTTTCGCCAATATGTTTCGCTTTGCGGTTGGAACCGTTATTGCTTAGTTTATTTATACATATTCATCTGATTCAGATTTATGACAATCCATCATCCATGATACTATTAACAACCAATCAGCACCACAGTTAATAGCACATTTCACCCAAAAGTGTACTTAAGGTTGGATTCAATACAAACCCTTACGAGGTTCATTGTTCTATGGTGATCGTGAAAAGATGTCTAATGTATTCGTACTTTTGTCAGTTAATTGAATTGTGCCGATCAGTTTTTACTGTAATTGATAAATCGAATTTTACCGTTTCTCTTTTATGCTAATTGGAATTTAAGCATCCACAACTAGCGTGAGTCTTTGATAAATATATAATAATGGGTATCACTTTCCTTTCATACAAGAACAAGTTTCATTTTTTATATTATATATTTTATCAACGCAAATCATTCTTTCATGTCGGAAGTTAATGTCATCAGCCTCTTTTCTATACGTAGTGTACTATGTACAAAAGGCTTGGTACCCTATAAGAGAAGACTTCTGTGGACACTTCTGGCCTTCAGAGTTTCGTTTGCTTAATTTTCGTTGTACGTCCATATTTTTTAGGCGCTTACTATTCAGGCGCCTCGCACAGTTAGGCAGTAGATTTCCTTCTTTAAAGTCTACAAGAAGAATGAATAGTCAATTGCAATATTCCCTACTCTATCTACATGTTCATCAGCTGATGATTTAAGAAGATAAAATTGACAGAAGTAAGAAACATGAAATCATGGTGTCAAACCAAATGTAATGAAATGTATGAAGCTGCACCATCTCCAAAACGAGTTATATAGCACCTGAATACGATAAAACTTCTACATGAAACGAAAAAGGTATAAAGCAATAGATAAGAATACAAAGATGCAAGAAAATAAAAACATCATCACAGAAAAACATCAAACGGGTTTGAGGTGTCAAAACGAGGTTGTGTTCATGCCCAGTCAGATCAGCCTCAGGTACTGTTGAAGGTATCATATTCTAAGAGAATGTGAGGCTTGGTGAGGAAGTGCTTGCAATTGATTACGGAAGAAGAGACTAAACCAATTTTTCGCTTGGGATCGTACTGGGGATTTAGCACATGTTGTCAGTCGGACCAGTTGTTAGTTTTTAGTCAAAACCATCAGA